AAAAAAAAAAAAAAAAAAAAAAAAAAAAAAAAAGATTATACTGTACACTTAAAGAGATAAAGTGAATGTGCTTTCTGAAAATGAGCGTTTTATAAAGTAATATATTATTTTAGCTTATTAAGTTTTCACAATTAGTAGCCAACACTCAATTCAATCGCAATTCTGATTTTCACAGTCTCTACAAATATTACAAAGGTCATAGAAATTCATGTGACACCACGGCGAAACTTGTTCTCATTGTTTTAAAAAGAGTCTCCATTTTGTTTTACATCAGGTACTAAAACATTGCTTCTCAAACTTAACATGCATTGGAGGATCTTGTTATATCGTCAGGGATCTTGTTAAGATGTATATTCTAATCCAATAGGCTGGGGAAGGACTTGAGAGTCTGAATTTCCAACATGCTCCCAGGTGTTCCAGTGATTTTGCTGGTCCATGAGCCAGGCTTTGAGTGCTTTGAGCAGCACAGCACTAATCCACTAGAGTTGTCTCAATAATGTTTAATATACAGTAAAGTCACTCAAAGCCGAGTAACTTTCAGGCAATTTGCAATATTTAAGACAGTCTTGATTTTTTCCTTTGTTCAGTTTTGTGTGAGAGAGCTTTAAAAAGAGTTTGTTTTACTGTAGAAAAAATGAATTTCTATACAACTATAGAAAAGTTTGCACAAGTACAAATGATGTATAATGATAGCCATTACTATTTATTTATCCTATGGAATGAAATAATTTATATTATAAAATGCTGTACCATTACACAACATATGTCACAAAATATACGTGAAATGTAGTTCATTATTGTTCATAGCATTAAAAAACGGAAACAATCTAAATGTTCATCCATAGAAGACTGATAAAACAAATTATGCTATATCCATGCTACTTTTATTTTACATATATATAACAGAGATAGACCAATAGACAATTTATATCAAAGATGATGTTACAGAATATTATAAAAGGATGGTCTTTTCAACAAATGATATTGTGACAACTGGATACTCATAGGAAAAAATGAAAAAGAAAATTCATCCTAACCTCACTTCATCAAAAAAATAAATTCCATGTAGATAAAACTGGAGACCCAAAAAACTTTCAAAAGATAATATAGAAGTGCATCTTCGTGAATTTGGAATAGAGACAGATTGTTAAAATAGAACTTAGAACAGTATTACCTGCAAAGTAAAAGGTAAGTTTGACTAGACAAAAATTTCAAACTTCTAGTCATCCAATCAGAGTGAGTAGGATAGCCTCAAAATCTCGGTAACATAAATGACTAATAAAGGCATTGTATCCAGAATATATAAGGAACATCTACAAATCAATGGAACAGGAACCCAGCATAAAAATTAGAAAGTGACTCAAAAAGGCACTTCACAAAAAAGGATGAGTTGTGGACATAAGCATCAAAGTGACACAGAAGGCAAACAGAAATCTGGCCCACAGCTGGTGCTAAGATTCAAAATTGCTCCAGAGAGAAGGGAAAAAAAGAGAGAAGAAAAGGAGGAAAGAGGAGCCAGACTCAGGACTTTCCTGGGGAATGAGAAAGAACTCGGGATGCTTTGCGGAGCCAGGTCGGCTTTGAAAATTCATAAAATATGAAAATACTGTATATTATTAAAGGTGAGTATTCAAAATGGTCTCATCGTGTCTTATGATGACCCAGAACTCGGGGACTGAAAGGAAAAATAGTCTTTAGAAGGATGGGAGTGGGTAGATATGTTCTCCAAAACAGAAAACTCAGGAAATTTCCCCATGTAGTTCATGAGAATATTACCATGAAGCTCACCGTAAATAAATAAAAATCTGAAACAGGTCTTAAGATGGAAGAAAAGTATTTCTGGAAGCACTCTGGAAAGCGTAGGGGTTTCAGACTTATCTGCATTATACACTGGAACAGTGATTTAAGGAAGCTGCAAAAAAAAAAAAAATCTCTTAGGTTTGTTCAATAAACAGAAAACCTAGTCATCCATTTAAGGTCTTTGAATGTGAGAATATAGCTAAATAAGCTGCATTTGAGCTCCCTTTAATCTCTGTTATTTATCTTTCAGTTGAAGCACTCAGTCTTAATGTACTAAAGCAAAACAGTAAGAAGAAACATAATGAAGGCCAGGCCTAGGAAAGGAGGCCAAACGTCTGTATCTAGGATTTATGCTCTGCTTCCCAATGCCTCAATATAAATACAAAGTCAATGTGGAAATTAAAATAGAATTGAAAACTGCTGCTTCCAGAAAGATGCAGAAGACGTGTTTTCCCCTATTCTTCCTGTTAAGTCCACCCCAAAACCTGAACATTATACATCAACAAACACAAGAAGACTGAGAGGTGGAAAGAAGAAGGAACACTAGCTCGGGACCTTGGGATCCAGGGAACAACACAATGGTGACTTCCCTGGGTTTTCTTTTTGCTTTATAGATGCTAGGCTTGGAGCTGAGAAAGTCCACAGCCTAGAAACGGCGGCAATGGGAGCATAGAAAAAGCCCAAACAAAAGAGAGGAAAACCCTGGCTCCACCCTTTTGAGAAAGGGAACTGAAGATGCGCTCTCAAATCACTACGGATGGAGAGTGAACAGAGTACCATTTCTGGTCTTCATCATGTTAGATTCCCTAGTGTTCAAGAGAGGAAGTCAATCTTATCTTTAACTTGCAGAAATGTGAAAACAAATGGTTTGTCTTCAGTAACACGGGATAACGGCAGAGTAAGTACTAGGCAAGAAGCACATCCTCAATCTCTCTGCTGTGGCCAATGTCTGCGAAAGACTTGGTCAAAGGAAATCAAGATCATGGAGGACTGTCTCTCCATCCAATTGTCACGATACTTTAAAATCTATTTTGGGGTTAACCTCCACCACCCGAGGTAGCATTATTGAGTCCCGCCACACTGCCCTCTGCTGCTCGCTGTTCAAATGGCTTTGATTGAATTGTTCTTTGGAGGCATGGTAACCTTTTTAAAAGTATTTTCTGAGGTACACCTTCTGTGTTTACTGTAATGATTTTGTTGAAGACATCGTTCATGGTACTTTTTATGAATATATCCTGGAAATTTTTCTCTCTGGCCTTATAGATACATTAAAAAGAACTGGACGTTTCCTAAAGAACTGGTCACGTTTAGTCATTTGGACATTGTGAATCACAAAACTAATCGTAATTTTCTCGTTGGGTTGGCTGCTAGAAAATTTAAACTTGAGTCAGTGGTCCACTGTGAGCACGTGTTTACATTTTGTGGGCCAACCTGATTATATTACCTGTTCTTGTATCTCCTTGGCCTTCTCATCTAATCTATTTCCAGTTAAAGGATTATGTTACTTTTATGTAGTTTTTGTAAATGATCTTACATTTTCTTAGAACTCAGGGTACATAAATACATAATTGCAAAGGGTATGAGAACATGAGGATGGCCATATTTGCACAACCCCAGAACATAACCCTTTTAAGTCTTTATAAATTGTACTTATTATCAGGGATTAATGCATTATGCTGTTTATAGGAATGAAAATTCCAGAAGAAATAAAAAGAGCTAGATACTGAGACACAAAATGAATGCCATAAAAGTGGCAGCTGAAACTATGTTGCAGGTACCAGATGCTGCTACCTCTGGGCACACTACTCATAGCCAGGCATTGGGCATATGAATAACCCCATATGGAATTCCCACTTGAGAGAGAAGATAGTGAGATTGGTGGCATCCTGGAGCTTCTTTGAAGCTATGAAAAAATCATACTAGAGTCTACAGGGACTCAGGTTTCCTGCTATTTAGGATTTGATGTTTCTTTGGACCTTTATGGTGGCCGTTACTAAATGTGAGTCCCCAGTGGAAGAGAGGGAAGCTGACAATCACAACCATAAGAATAGGAGGTGCCAAGTCCTTACCCTTCCCAGGCCAGACCAAGGTGAAAGAATAAACAAGATGTAGGTATAGCTCTGTTCACATTTCAACCAGAACTCAGGAATATGTATTACTATCGCCAGTCAAAATCATCCCCATTGTTGTTTTCAGTGGTAGCACTAAATGGGGGGGGGGGGG